TCCTCACAACCAGACCAGTAAGTGCATCACAATAAATGGAGAAAAGATTGAAATTGTCAAAGATTTCATATTACTTGGTTCCACAAACAACACTCATGGAAGCAACAGTCAAGAAATCAGATGTCGTGTTGCACTGGGCAAATCTGCTGCAAAAGACCTCTTTAAAGTGCTGAAGAGCAAACATGTCTCTTTGAAGACTATGGTGTACCTAATTTAAGCCATAGTGTCTTCAATAGCTCCATATGCATGTGAAAACTGGACAATGAATATGGAAGACTGAAGAAAAGTTGATGGTTTTAAGTTGTGGTGTTGGCAAAGAATGCTGAAAGTACCATGGACTGCCAGAAGAATGAATAAATCTGTCCTGGAAGAAGTGCAGCCAGAATGTTATTTAGAAGTGAGAGTGGTCAGACTTCATCTAATCTACTCTGGTCATGTTGTCAGAAGGGACCATTCCCTGGAGAAGGATATCATGCTTGGTAAAGTAGAGGGATAGCGGGAAAGGGGAAGGCCTTCAACAAGATGGAATGACACAGTGGCAGCAACAATGGGCTCTGGTATATCAAAGATTGTGAGGCTGACATAGGACCAGGTGGTGTTTAGTTCTGTTGTACATAGGGTCGCTATGAGTCAGAGCCAGCTCAACGGCACCTAACAACACCACCACCACAAATCCCTAGAGCTCTGGTGGTGTAGTGGTTAAAGCATTCAGCTGCTAACCAGAAGGTTGGTGGTTCAAACCTACCAGGCATTCCACAGGAGAAAGATGAGGCAGTCTGCTTCTGTAAAAATTTACAGCCTTAAAAATACTCTGGGGCAATTATGCTCTGTCTTATAGGGCTGCATGCTATGAGGTGGAATCAACTCAATGGCAAAGGGTTTGGTTTGGTTTTGGGAATCCCTGGAACCTGTAAATGTCACTTATTTGGAGAAAGCATCTTTGCAGATGTGATTAAGTTAAGGATCTTTTGATGGGAAGATTATCCTGATTATCCAAGTAGGCCCTATGCCATTACTTGGAGAGTACTTGTAGAAGCAGAGGGAGATTTGACACAGACATACACAGAGGAGGAAGGGGGAGTGTGATGATGGAAGCAGAGACTGCAGTGATGCAGCCACAGGCCAATAAGGAGCTGGAAGAGGCAAGAAGCTAATTCTCCCCTAGAGCATCTGGAGGGAGCATGACCCTGAACTTCTGCCTCCAGAACTGTGAAAGAATAACCTTCTATGGATTTAAGTCATCCAGTCTGTGCTAAACTGTTATAGCAGCCACAAGAAACTAAGACAGTGCCTGACACCAGGCCACGTCAGGCTGGACTAAGGAACTAGCAGGTTTCCACATCATAGGTAAAATGCAAAAAAAAAAAAAAAAAAAAAAGCAGAACAGAGTCAGGAAGGTGGTGTGACGGTGGAAAAGAAATTAGGACAGCAAGAGGTCAGCTTACTCCAAATTTCCTACACGGAAGGCCCTTATCAGGAGGGGAGAGGGAGCTCCTTGGAAGCAGCTGGACAGAAACAGAGCTGAGTGTCCAGAACAGCCCTGTGGACACCGACACCGCACCACCCTCCGGATCAAACACACGGCCAGGAATTATCAGTGATAAGCAAGAAAGCATTTTTAGGTGAGTTTAAGTTTCTTCTTTATTTTTTTGTATAAAAGTATTTTTTTTCCTGGGTTTTTTAAAATTTGTCCAATACATTGTGTTACCCCCCACCCCAATGCCACTTAGTACTTCTTTCTCGCCTCCTTCACTCCTGCTTATGGTGTTGTCTGCCTGCAAGACCCAGATGAAGAAACCTTCTCACCAGTTGAGATCTGGGAACTGGAGGGATTGGGGGTTAGAAGGAAGGTAGGGGTTAGAAGGAAGGTAGTTACTGGTCAAAAGGAGAAGTCCATTTGCACAAAAATATAAACTGGGGAGGATGAGGCCAGCACATACACGTATGGATTGATCTACAATCCATGTTTAAAAAAAAAAAAAAAATAGACCCAACTTGTCATTTTACCATTTGTAATATTATACAAAATAATATATATATATTTTAAACAACACATACCCACCTACACACACACTCACACACATACATACAAGGTGCTAGTGGCCCCTCTGCAGCTTCTGCTCATAGGGGACAGAGGTGTCAGTAGGCAAAGATGACATGGTAGGTGACTTGGTGGCCATTGTCCCAGGCATAGAGCAGGCGGTCCTTGGGGTTGTAGTCTATCTGGGTAGTGTAGGAATACTCGTTTTCAAACAGCAGCCTGGGAACAATCTGTGTGTTGGTGTGGGTGTCAAAGGCGTAGGAGATGTTGGCATTCCGCTGGTTGTAGCTGTCCACAGCATACAGCACCCCGCAGATGACAAAGCAGTTGCCATAGAAGTTCCGCCGGAGCCCTGTGCGCCATGTGGTCTCCTTTTGCGTGCTCAGGTCCACGGCATTGAGCTTGCTCAGGATGATGACCTCTTGGCTGAAGCCCTCATCATCCAAGGCAGGGTAGATGAGCCACAAGCCATTCTCATCCACAGCAAAGTCCACATCGGAGTGGCCCTGCCACCTCCAGGGGGTGGCCTCTTCATAGGCCACGTCATGGAGCATGGCCCAGGCAGCAACATAGCGCTGCTTCAGGTCATACTTAATGATGTTGCGGGTGAAGGCCCGATTGTAGTAGAAGGCACCATTGTAAACCACGTGCCCTGTGCCAATCCAGTTGTATGGCAGCTTGTAGGAATTGCTCCAGCGACCTGTGGGGTGTAAGAAGGCAGGAGGCTTCAGGGCAATGAGGAAGAGATAATTTGCTAGTTAGGTGAGGCAGCCTAGTGGGATGGGGCAAACAGTCAATTAGAAGCCTGGAGGCCTGGGTTCATGTTTTGGCCCTGACACTTTCTAGTTTTGTATAGCAAATCGCTTAACCATTCTGAGCCTTAGCATCTGTGGTAGTTCAGTGTGTGTGTGTCAACTTGGCTGGGCCTGGTTGAGTGGCTGGGCAGCTAAATGTAGTATTCCCCATGATGAAATTCCATGGTGGAATCTACTGGGAGCAGCTGAGTAGCTGCTTTTAGGGAATGTGGTCTGCTTCCTGTATATAAGCAGAAGCCTTGGGGAATGGTCTCTAGCTTATGGCACGCTTGGACCCTGCAGGTAGCCATGTCTTTGTTGAGCAGCCTGCCATGCTCTGCTGACCCTGGGACTTACAATAGACTTGAATTAATGGCCTGCCATGTGGTTTGGCAACATCGGGACTGTGCCTTTTTACTTGTCAAACTTGGGTTTTTCAGCCTCAGCAGCCAGTAGCTGTCTGAGTGAAGATATGCCTCTAGCTCCAGTGGGCCGGGAGCAAGAGGCAGAGCTGAAGCCCAAGGTTGAGGGGCTTTCACCCAGCCCCTAGAGCCTGGCACTTTGGACTTAAAGCCTCCAAACTATGAGAGAATAAACTCCTGTTTGTTCAAGCCATCCCATTTGTGGTATATTCCTGTCAGAGTGGCACTAGGTAACCAGAACAGCATCTATATCTGTCAAATGAGGATAATTTCTGTTTGCCTCACTGAGTTGTTTCAAGGATCAAGTGCATTAATATATATAAGCGTGGTTGGCAAATGGTCAAGGGCTATGTGAAAGTAGGATGTTTTACTACTATTATGCAGTCCTTCTGCCTTCTGGGCTGGACTTCAGGTTGTCCCATCTCTCAGGGCTGGAAGGAGGAGGAGAGCTGAGAGAATGAAAGAGCAGAGAATGTGAGGGGGGCAGAAAGGAGACCCCCTTCCACCAGGTCCTTGAACCATCGCAAGGTTTTGCCCTTCTTAACTACTGTCATCACCAAAGACACTTGGCCAATGACCAAAACAGAGGAGAGCTGTGAAGGGCAGAAGCCTCTGAGTTGGAACCATAACACATACCTTGTTTGAAGTTTTCCAGGTTCCGGAACTCCACCAGGGTGTTGCCATAGTAATAATTGGTCACATAAATGCGCTCGTCCTTGGCCAGGGGGTCCTTCATCCAGGCCCCTTCGTTGCGCCCGTATGTGTTCTGGGTTGTTGGCCCCGTGATGGTGGAGAGGGTGTCCTTGCATCTTCCTGATGGAGAAGAAGTGGATGGGGGTGTTGGGAAAAAGTGGTCTAATAATGTCCACCACTTAAAATTTGCTTGTTCTCCCATGTAGGGTCTGAACTTATACTTTAATAGGCCTGTATAACCTAATCTCCCCAAAATTCTTCGAGAATCATCTCTTGTATTCCTATTATCCATCCTATGCTTCTTCGAAGCTATTCAGCGTTCCCATTCTGTACTACTTTCATGCCACCATGCCTTTGCTCCTGCTGTTCTCTGACTTATCAATCCTACAAACATGCCTCAGAGACCTAAGGTCTAAATTCCTCTGACACCACACCTCCCTCTGAAAAGCCAACTGTTCCTTCTGATTGCTCCCACACTACTGTAGACATATACCTATTACAGGATGTGTCACCTTACATCTCAATGATTCTTGCTCATCTCTCCTCCTTCCACATCTAACCTCCACATATACCCCCAACCAGAGTATAATCTCCAGGGGATCATGGTCTATGACTTTTTCTCTTTGTGTTCTTGGTGTTCAACACATAAAGTGGCAAATAGTAGGCATTCAGTAGAAGTTTGGGTAGTTGGATGAAAATATGGTAGATGAGAAGTATAACCAGTGGTGAGGACTCTGCCTGGTATAATGAGGGTCACTGATCTCCACCAGCTTCGGTGCTGCCCCAAAGGAGCTTGGCCCTGGGTTGTTGGCAGCCCGGTCACAGTGGAAACGAGTCCTGACTGTGCAGTGGATATCATCCTCTGGGACTCAGCTGCCATGTCCTAGAGAGCTTTCCTCTAGCCCATGCCTCTCACACCAGCTGGGGATTTGGAGGGCAGGAGACCAAGTTGCCTACATCATGGAGCTTACACTGGCTCCTTCAAAGGTCAAGTCTGCTACTTTTCTTCCCCTTTATTTATTTCGTTTTTGAGAATATACACAGCAAAACAGACACAAATCCAACAGTTTCTACATGTACAATTTAATGACATTGATCACATTCTTCGAGTTCTGCAATCATTCTTTCCCTCCTTTTCTGAGTTGTTCCTCCCTCTTTGACATAAACTCACTGTCCCCTAAGGGGACAGTCTAATATTTCGAGTTGCTGTTGTCAATCTGATCCCATATGTTGTTGTTGTTGTTAAGTGCCATCGAGTCAGTGCAGACTCATAGCGACCCTTTTACAACAGAATGAAACGCTGCCTGGTCCTGCACCATCCTCATGATCGTTGCTATGCTTGAGTCCATCATTGCAGCCACTGGGTCAATCCATCTCGTTTAGGGTCTGCCTCCTTTTTGCTGACCCTCTACTTTACCAAGCATGATATCCTTCTCCAGGAACTGGTCCCATCTGACAACATTACTGAAGTAGGTGAGATGATGTCTGGCCATTCTTGCTTCCAAGAAGCATTCCAGCTGCACTTTTTCGAGGACAGATTTGTTCATTCTTTTGGCAGAGCATGGTATTTTCAGTATTCTTCACCAACACCACAATTCAAAGGCATCAATTCTTTGATTTTCTTTATTCATTGTCCAGCTTGCACATGCATCTGAAGGTATTAAAAATACCATGGCTTGGATCAGGTGCACCTTAATTTTCAAAGTGATATCTTTGCTCATTAACACTTCAAAGAGGTCTTTTGCAGCAGATTTTCCCAGTGAAATATGTTGACTGAATTCTCAACTGCTGCTTTCACGGGTGTTGACTGTGGATCTCCATGTAAAATGAAATCTTCATCCCATACAGATAGTTTTTAGAAGAGCACAGTGCTCAAAGCAGACCTTTAATATTAGTGAAGCTAAACTATTGCTCAGTTTTAAGAAGACTTCAGGGGATATTTTTTTATTCAAAGTATAGTTTCAGTGGTTTATTCAGCCTCCATGGCTCCAGAAAGTCTAGAGTCATTAAGAACTTGAAATTCTGTTCTGCACCGTCACCCTTTTGATCAGGATTCTTCTATGAAATCTTTGATCAATATGGTCAGTAATGGTTGTTGGGCACCATCCAGTTTTTTTGGTCTCATGGCAAAGGAGACAGTTATTCATGGAGGCATGGAGGCAATTAGCTACACATTCCATATCCTCCTTTTACTCCTGACTCTCTTTTCTCTGTTGTTCCAAGCAGACAGAGACCAATTATTACAACAGGATGTCTGCTTGCAAACTTTTAAGACCCCAGGCACTATGCAGTGAACTAGGAGGTAGAAGAGAAGCACTAAATATGTTACCAGGCCAATTAACTGGAATAGCCCATGAAACCATGACACAAAACCTCCAACCCAAGGAGCCAAATCCCATGAGGTGTTTGGTTGTACAAAGTAGCCTCAGTGGCTACTTTTTTTTTTTTTTAATTGTTGTAAATATGTCACACAACTTTTGCCAATTCAATTTTTTACAAGTATACAATTTATTGGTGGCAATTGCAATAAGTATGCAACTCTACCCTCAATCAATGTGATTTTTCCATCACCATTAACTCCTTTCCCCCTCCCTCCTGGCCCTGGTGTTGTTGTTGTTATGTGTCATTGAGTCAGACCTGACTTATAGTGACTGCTCCCTGCGTTTCTGAGGCAGTATCACTACGGAAGTAGATTTCCCCATCTTCCTTCTGAGGAGTAAACTGTGGTCTCACACATTTGTCTTTTCTTGCCTTTTTAAATAAGTGAGGTCATATAATATTTGTCCTTTTATGACTGACTTACTTCCCTCAGTACAATGTCTTCAAGCTCCATCTGTACTGTGGCATGCATCAAGACTTAAATTTCTCCTACTATTGTTGTTAGGTGCCATTGAGTCGGTTCTGACTCATAGCAATCCTATGTACAAGAGAATGAAACACTTCCCGGTCCTGTGTCAGCCTCACAATGCTTGCTGCACTTGAGCCCATCTTTGCAGCCACTGTCTCAATCCATCTCGTTGAGGGCCTTCCCCTCCTTCGTTGACCCTCCACTTTACCAAGCATGATATCTTTCTCCAGGGAATGGTCACTTCTGACAACATGACCAAAGTAGGTGAGATGAAATGTGGCCATTCTTGCTTCCAAGGAACATTTCTGGGTACTTCTTTCAGGACAGATTTGTTAATTCTTCTGGAAGTCCATGGTACTTTCAGTATTCTTTGCCAACACCACAACTCAAAAGCATCAACTCTTCTTCAGTCTTCCTTGTTCATTGTCCAGTTCTCACATGCATATGAGGCGATTGAAAATACCATGGCTTGCGTTAGGCACACCTTAGTCTTCAAGAAGACATCTTTGTTCTTCAGCACTTTAAAGAGGCCTTTTGCAGCAGATTTGCCCAGTGCAGTATGTCATCTGATGTCTTGATTGCTGTTTTCATAGGTGTTGATTGTGGAACCAAGTAAAATGAAATCTTTAACAACTTCAATCTTTTCTCCATTTATTGTGATGCTGCTTATTGGTCCAGTTGTGAGGATTTTTGTTTTCTTTATGTTGAGATGTAATCCATACTGCAGAATGTAGTCTTTAATCTTCATCAGAAAGTGCTTCATGTCATCCTCACTTTCAGCAAGCAAGCCAAACCAAACCAAACTCACTGCCATCAAGTCGGATCTGACTCATAGTGACCCCTCCTTGGGTTTCTGAGGTGGTATCTCTACAGAAGTAGATTGCCCAATCTTCCTTCTGAGAAGTGGCTGGTGGGTTGAACCACCAGCCTTCTCTTAGCAGTCAAATGCCTTAGGCACTATGAGTCTTCCTCCAATCCTGATGCCATGGTCTTCTTCATATAGTCCAGCTTCTTGAATTATTTGTTCAGCATACATATTGAATAAGTGTGGTGAAAGGATACAACCCTGACACACTTTCTTCCTGATTTTAAACCATGCAGTATCTCCTTGTTCTGTTTGAATGACAGCCTCCTCATAAATACAATCAAGTGTTCTGAAATTCCCATTCTTCTCAATGTTATCCATAATTTGTTATGATCCACACAATCGAATGCTTTTGCATAGTCAATAAAACACAAGTAAACATCTTTCTGGTATTCTTTGCTTTGAGCTAAGGTCCATCTGACACCAGCAATGATATCCCTTGTTCCACATCCTCTTCTGAATCCAGCTTGCATTTCTGGAAGTTCTTTGTCAATATATTGCTGCAACCATTTTTTAAATTATCTTCAGCAAGATTTTACTTGCATGTGATATTAATGATATTGTTTGATAATTTCCACATTTCTCCTACTAGCTGAGTAGTATTCCATTGTATTACATAGCACATTTTGTTTATCCATTTATCTGATGATGGGAAATTAGATTATTCCACCTTTTGTCTACTGTGATAGTGCTGCAATGAACATTGGTGTACAAGTCTCTTTTGGAGTCTTTGCTTTCCAGTCTTTTGGGTATATATCTAGGCATGGAATTGTTGGGTCATATGGTAATTCTATTTTTAGTTTTTTGAGGACCTGATACACTGTTTTCCACAATGGCTATATCACTTTGTATTCCCACCAGCAATGGATAAGGGTTTCAATTTCCCCACATCCTTGTCATCATTTGCTATTTTTATATATTTATTTTTATCTTAGCCCTCCTAGTGGGAGTGAAATGGTATCTCATCGTGATTTCAATTTGCATCTCTCTTACAGCTAATGATATTGAACATCTTTTCAGGCATTTGGTGGCTACTGGAATGTCCTCTTTGTTGAAATGTCTATTGAAGTCCTTTACCCATTTTATGATTGGGTTGTCTTTTTGTTGTTGTCAAAATTTCATATATATATTTATATTCTTGTCAGATATATGGTTTCTAAAGATAGTCTCCCAGTTGGTAACCTGTCTTTTTACTTTTTCTGATAAAGTTTTTTTGATGAACTCAAGGTTTGAGTTTTTATGAGTTCTCATTTATTTATTTATTTTGTCTTTTGCTGTTTGTGCTTTTGTTATTAGATGGAATACTGTGGAAAGTTAGGCCTGATAGTTGCCTCTGTTTGTTCTTCTAAGAATTTGATGGCTTTAGTTTTCATATTTATGTTCTTAATCCATGTTGAATTTGCTTTT